CGGTTTAGGGTTGGTTTACCAATTGTGGTGTTCGATTAACTTTCAGTCATTTGGACTATGCCGACTGAATTAAGACAACGTATTTCATTATCGCCCGGAGGAGGTCGTTTGACAACAATTTGCCTAACAGTATCCTGTTGCAAGCAAATGGCATTCGAATATATACTAGGTTGCGAAGAATGTCGTTTTGACGATCATGTCATACAACGCTGCAACGTTGGAACAATTCGAAAGGTAAGATCATATCCTCAATTTCTTGTTACTTCTACCTAAACCAACAACGATAGTCCAATAATTTATTTTTACTTATCCCACCCAAAATCCTTTTTAGTCTATCCTAATGATTAAATTGAGTTTTTCCTTTTCAATTTATGTTTGATGAAATGAATATTTAAGTTTTTCAAAAATTAAAAATATATCATTTGAAGGAGGAGAATGCAGTCAAGTATACGAAAATTATGTTTGCTTATTGATTTTTTTTTTTTTTAAACACTAGTCCGTCAACATTCTGATATAGATCCGCCCTTGATGAAGAGACCAACCCTTATAAGTCTCAGCATAAATGATGAAGACATTGGTTGGGCCGTGCTATGACAAATGAGGGCAAGCCCTTCCATGAGTGATTAGATGCCATCAAGCACAATGCCTAAGTCGAGGCTAGGGGTTAAACATTATAAGACTTCACTAGAGCTGAGAGAGAAGCATGTAATCAAGTTGACTAAGCCTTGACCAACGAGTAAAAGATATTTTATTAAGCATTATCTATTAACAAAGGCCATATATCAAGAAGTCGTCCTTCTCCCGTACGTGGACTACGTTATCAACCCAACAAAGGCCACCTTTCCTACCATCCACAATGGAGAAAGAAATAGTGACTAACTATAGCAGAGTGAGGTAGGCTTGCGCCACCAAATAACTACTATTATGGGAAATGTTGCAGATGGCTCAGACGAAATAGCGCTTACTGGATCACCTGCCGATAAATATATTTTCAACACTTATCCGAGGTCTAAAATTATAGCATTTTAATGTTCTTTTGACAAAATATGGCCTAATTCGTGTAATGTTGTGTGTAATAGGTAAAACTCGATAATTGCATGAATAATTGGAAGAAAGAATGAAAAAAATGACAAAATCCAAACTATGAAGACTAAAGTGCAATATTACAATAGTCGTGTAGGATTGCAAGACGGCGATTCGGATTTGGGAAGAAAAAATAATCGAAAATCTATATATTCTACATATTTTGGAGGCGAAGAACGACGCTTGATCATGAAACAAAGGCGAATTACCCAACATTCTTGAAGATTATTCAACCAAAATCAAGATTTCATTCAAAAAAGTGGATTTCTTCACTTTCTTCCATATGTTCCTGATCCGGGTGATATTTTTCCATATTTTACTGTGTAATTCAATATTTAATATGATTAGCTAAGTTTTTCTATTGTATTGGATGGTTGATGAACCTTATTTTTGTTTACTTTAATTTAAGTATTTCTTGATTGATTTTACATTCTCATTGCACTATTTAATTGTTTGGCAATCAATTAAATAATTAGTTACGTTTTGTAATGTATGAATACTCACAATAAGTTTAGAAAGTGGTAAAATCAACACATGGACAATATGTATTATGAATTTAGGAATATAATATATTGCATGTACAATCATGTAGACAATCTAAATCAAATGCATGATTTTGATATGAATTCGGACTAGAAATAAAAAAAAAAAAACATTTAACATATTAGCATTATCGGTTGTCAAAAATGTATGAAATTAACTAGATTATTAATTGAGAATTGAAATATATGGAAATAGGATAATCATGAATCCAATACAAACATTCACTTTCGATAAAACTGCAATTTACTTGTTTTGTTAGTATATAACTATATATTAGAGAAGTAGTATAAATAACCACAAAATCACTCTTTTAAACCTTATTCATTGTAAAAACATTAAACTCAAAACTCACTATTTCTATTACTTGTACAACGATCCTGTACACTTGCGAATTTCAACGTAACACCTACTTTTGAGTAAGTGATGTCACGAGTTGGCCACCAAAGAGCTCGTCAAACAAATGAAGTTACCCTCTTTTTGCTCCTTGATCATATAAATACCCCTTAAAATCTCTCAACCAAGGTAAGTGAAATCTATAACAACCAAAGCTCAGCTAATTTGTCTTCCCGGACCCATTTTCTATATTTCGACTTGTGCGTGCGTCGGAGTGAAAACAACTGTTGCATCCTTTCCAGTTCAATGATCTTGCATTCTAACATATGTCTTGGTGAGCATGAGCTATATAGGTGGATAGAAAGGCAGTCAGGTTCTATTGACTTTAGGGTTGTCCAGATTTTGAGGTCAACATCACCAAAATCCAAATTAAATTTTTTTTTATAACTGATTGCAACGATATTTGAACTTAAGAACATTTTTTGTTGGGCTGAACAATCTTGTTTGTAAAACTCTAGGAAAGAGTAACATTTATTTGTTGACTTTCAATAAGACTCACTTTGCCCCCAAGGGCACATGTAATTGGTGAGGTCTTTAGCAGTAAACGTGTTGTGTTGCCATGTTGGCCATCTTCTAAACTATGGTACTTTGAAGTGAACACACATCCAAACAAGTAGGGTCAATAATTCAGTATTTAGACCGTAATATTTAGCAATGCTGGTTTGGCTCATCTAAATCAAAAAAATCTTCCATTGGTAGCAAGGAAATGGACATGGAAAACTAGCAAGTGAAAGGACATCATGCTAGACTTAACTTTGATTTTATTTTGGGATATGGGTGGAGAGTTATATGATAAGTGGGAGTTGAAAGGCGAAAGTAAAATATCAATGCTACGACGTTATTCTACTCATTCCATAAATTGGAGAAAGGGTGCTCCTTTTTGGACTCAAGGCTCGCTACGCGGCCACTTCAAGCTGAAGACAATGCTAGGAAGGAAGTTAGATCAGGGAAGCACACGTGTTAAAAGATAATAATAATAAATTCTCACGTTGAACAAAAAGGTAAAAACTCGTGTTACTATTGCTTTCCGTACGAATACATTCCGTAAAAGTTGAACTGGCGATGCCTTGGGCCTTCTAAATTTAGAGCTTGTTTGAGAGAGATTTTAATCCAATTAAAATTAAAAATATAGCCGTTATTGGGTCTCACCCGTCTAATAAAAGTCAATAATAACGACTAATTTTTCAATTTTAATCCCTACCAAACAAGCTCTTAAAACTATGCCACATAATCAGTACGGAAATAACAAAAAACTAGATAAAAGCAAAAAGACTTGCCTAAAAAATCCTAATATTTTAAAACTAAGATGAATTTGATTTTAGGGTTGTGCTGGTTGTACAGCTTTTTTGTTGATTTTATATATAGCCCATGTTTATTTTCTTATAAGGGTTAGATTAAAATTTAAATCAAATTCAACAATTAATTTTAACTATATTTTATGAGATTCACAACTTTTCAATCACATATTTTATGAGATTCAC